GGGAGGAGTAGAAATACTCCCTGTAGCTTAGTAATAGAGAAACCGGGAAAATGTAGTTAACATCGTGATAACATCTAATACGTTATTACAGACTTATTTGCGTAATTTATGTATCAAGGGCTATTTCTGCCCAAGCTTGCGCGTTTGTACTGCAAGAAGTGTTTTGTTAAACATGTTTACCGTTGTGTGTTTCGATTAGCGCGTTTGTTTAATATATTCTATTTGCAGGTTGTCCTTCACTAAAAGCTTTGAGAACAAACAACTGCACCCCTCCATCACAGGAATCTGAAGATTCAGATGACGAACAAGAACAATAATAAACACAAGAAGAATGTGTAGTCAGCAGTTTTGTACGACCCCATTAGTTGCTCTGCTTCCATTCTCTGTCAGTCGCGTCTCCCTTCCACCCTTAAGAAAGTTTGCTTTGATTTAGAGAAGAAAGCTTCTTATAGTCTTAAAGTGAAAGTCAATACGTTCTTAGGGAAGAATGCTTTGTTTTTGTTTGGTTTTTTTTTTTTACTTAAAGCACCAGTCATAACTGCCACCGTAATTTCTCCTCTCTGAGACCGTTCTTTCACATACTTCTATATACTCTAAGCCTAGACTTCCTGCGAGTCGATCGATGGTGTGACGTCTTTGAATTATGCAAATTAGGAAAGTGATGACGTCATAAGTTCCTTTTAAACTATAAGCAGCAATTATTTTTTTCATTTCATAGGCACTTTAACCTTTGGCCGCATAAAGCCGTCCTTTTGTATTCAAGTTTGATTCTTGCGCTGTTTGCGAATTTGTTTTCAAAGTAATTTAATGAAGTTGGGTCATTTAGAAACCAGCCAACTTGTTGTTATTGTTTGTGAAATATTGATATTCGATTGTATGAGGAGAGTTGACTTTTTTTGACACTTTTGGTGTAATTGTAATACAGTTGAAAACTGTGTGATGGTTAAATAGCAAGTATAAAAGAGATAAGAAATAACTATAATAATGAGTTTTAATTTAAGTGCATGGTTCGTTTAAAAATATATGACTTTTATTCGAGAATATTTAACAATAAATTCGTTCGTGAACTTGATCAATCTAATGTATGCATTTGCAGTTTTTCTAAGGCCAATTCTTTCTTTTTAATTTTTTAAACTATACTTATTTTCTTGGATTATGTTTCCGTACATTTTAATTCCTCCAGTCAATCGACCAGGCTAGGGTTGACCGTGTAATTTTTCACACAGGCTAATACAGTATAACAGGCGGCGAAAAGCGAGACCCGGAGGGGAGCCCCACCCACTACCGGTAAAATTGTAAAATTAGGCGATTTCATTGCTGGGGGTTGTGTTGTATTAACTTACGGAAAAGGAGTTGTTCATGAGCATAACATGTATCAGCGGAATAGACCAAATAAACTAATGTAAAATTTATTGATATGGATATATGTGGAAATTTTTGATGACCGGAACAGACGGCTATTTTCGTCTTCACAGCCGGTGGAATTCCGACGGCTGCTAGCTTCTGCTGAGAACCCTGCAAGGGACAACGCATTTGATACCATTTAAGGACAGACATAAGGGTAGACATACTCCTTACTAGTAAGGGGTGACATCGGAACATCGATAGATCAGTCGGAAGATTGCCGAAACCGAAGTTCTCCATTACTGAAAGAACCCGAAGTGTTTCCAATGGCTGTCTTCTTTGCAAAATCTTTTAATATCTTTCTTCGTACTTGGGAGTTTTGTGAACTTCAGTTCATAGTACCAGTCGAAATTCAGGGTCAGCAAACGTGCTAAACAAATTAAGTGAATTGTAAAGTTTTTATGCCTATGGTTCCCATGGAAATTTTTTCTACGGATGAACTATAGTTTCAACTCCCTTCCGGTGCAAACAGTTTGAGCCTGTGATCTTTGTCCTGTGGAGTCACCAAAAAAATCACGTGAGCTCTATAAAAGGCGTGATTTGATTGGCTGACGTTGTGTTTGAAAGAAGTGGAGGGAAAAAACGAACAAGATGGCCGAGCGGTGAAGGAGGTTTCTTCTCGAGCAGTTTTTCGTTTGGATTTAGCTAAGGATATTACGCATTTACGCCATTCAAGTTCCTGAAAGAATCAATCATGTCTGTTGCAACACTTGTTGGATCTTTTGACGATGTCGTTCGCTCCGCATCGGTTCTCGCCGAAGGAATTGAAGGAGGTTTGTGTTGGGATTCGTTGTTCGTTGCATGTCAAAATTCTTGGTTACAAGTAAGCCTAAAGTGATTCATTTCAATTCCTTTTCCTTCCTAGAATTTATCAAATTCGTATCACAACAAGAAGAATGCCGGAAGAAATGGCTCGCTGCAGAGAATGAAGCTGTTCGATTGAAACAAGACATCGCGAAAATCACGGTACGGTTTCACGTTCAAAGTTGTCAATCTCCCTTGACATTGCATAGAAGCTTAACAAAACACTTTATCGTTTTCACATGTCCACAGTACTATAGCTTCTTTCAAGTAACTCTATTTCTTTACAATATTTATCCATTCTCTCACAGGCTGAAAATGAAGCGCTTGAAGTAAAACTGAAGCATGCGAGGTACGTAGATCATGGATGATGCGTAGATGAAAATGACAACTTGTGCTGCCTCCTTCACCTGAACTTTGATTCCGTAACTTTCTTTTAGTACACAGTTTTGTCTTGTCTACCGTTATCTTTTCAGGAGTCAAGTTGACATAGAAATCAAGAAAAGAATGAAAGCAGAAGCAGCTCAAGATCACTTGGTAAGAACGTATAAAGTATGAATGAAAATGTCACATGTTTGTCTCTTTCCTCATCGAGTCAATTACAGGATTGGAACACTGGAGGAAGTTACTGAGCAATCATTTAAAAAAATTGAAACTTTCTCTGGCTAAAAATATAAAACTGCAGTTTAGGCAATCCAAAGCTTGTGTTTTTATAACATTTTTAGCCAGACCACTCATAAATTGTACTATGTTTCATCCAGTCCCTCAATATTTTCATGAACGTTATTGTCACGGTTTTGGTTCTAGCATAAGGCGAGATATTTAGTACCTGAGTCTGATGTAACCTAAAAAAAATTACCAGGTAAGAAATGTTTATGTGTACACACATTATAAGTACATTATTGTTCCCCAAATCTTATAGGAGAGGCAAGTCGCACTGATCCGCGAACTTTTGAATGACAAGGACACAATGAGCAGGTTGAATGACAATGAGAGACAGACACTGATGCAGTTGAGCCAGTGTCACCACGAGGACATGACTAGCCCTAGGAAAAGGTATAATAATTGTGATCTGCATCTGTCCATTCTTAAAATGGGTTTAT